TTTTTTTTTTTTTTTTTTTTGTCTCATGCAGTTTATATATACTAAAATTATTATTATTTATTTAATGCTGATGGCATAATGCCTGTGTGGAAGAATATTTATGAATCACAATAAACAAAATTCTTCACAAAATGCAAAAATAAAAAATGACATCACGCACAATAAAATTGGATTACTTTACTGTTACATCTACAGTATTGCCTCTTTGCCCTTTTTATAAGAAGTTAGATATATAGATTATCCCGATTTATTTCATTATTTATGTAGGCTCGTGGCAAAAATAAAATACACAGGAACTTTTTTATTTTATTTTATTTATTTATTTTTTATCTACATCATCCCATTTTTATATTGGAGATTTTTTGTAAGTTCTCCTTGCCGTACAGGTAAAAGAAGATTGAAAGATCTCTTGGTTCAACGTGACAATCGTGTGTGTACAGCTTACAATGCTCAAGACCCAAAATGGGCGTAAGTTGCTCCTTGAGATTCTTACACTGTTGTTTTGTTTTAACAGATTATTAAAGTTGTAATGATACGAGAGGCGTGAGAAAAGCCTAGTAGTGAGCTCAATCTTGCCAACATTTCGGTGTCTAGGGTCAAGCTCACTCTTTCCCATTTGCTAGTATTATTTAAGAAGAAGAAGACTATAGCCTTGCAATTTATTGCCAAGAAGAACAACCATGACAATATGTATTCATTCTCGATATTATGATGATATAACAATGTTTGTTCAAGCATATTATTCATAATCCAATCAGTGTGATTTATTGAATTGTAATTTCCATTTCCATTTCAGGTCAGCAAATACAGGAGTATTGATTTTCTTGAAGTGCTGCGGAATGCACAGAAGCCTTGGTACTTATATTTCGAAGGTGACTGTTTACCACCCTGACCCCCCCCCCCCCCGGGGGGGGGGGCCTTCTGGGTTATGTTCTTAACTAACAAAATTGGGCATCCCTGCAGGTTTTGTCTGTGACATTAGATGAATAGTCAGATGATGAAATCGAATCAGTGATCGAGGTCGGTGGAAACGCATCTGCAAATTCAATTTATGAGGTCTATTTCCTGAAGAAGTCTCAAAGCCTGGATCAGATGCTAGCCACGAACAGCGTTCAAAATTTATCAGGTCAGATGACATGTATAAACACTACGATTTTTAGATGTGATGGGTTCTCTCTCTCTGTCTCTGATCATACATTAGTATCAACTTGGCTGTTCTGGGCTCTCAAATGCTTGTTTTTCATCTGTTGGATCTGTTTATACCTTCACTGAAGGTCCTAACCATTAGAGAAAACTTTTTATTCACAATTAGGTGTTTTCTGGTGGGAAATCTATGTTGTTCTATATTAACTTGTAGGTCTAAGCAGGAGCTTCAAGAGTTTTTGAAACCTAGCCTACGTATTACGTCAACTTCTAAAAAGAATACTTTGCAAGTAACTTTATCCAGGAAGATTATGGATAGTTTCCGAAGCTCAAGTTCATCAAAGAAATCAGTTAGTTCACTTTGATAGTTTGCAGCTCCCTTCCTTGTTTCACATACTTTCGATTTGGTGTTGTAATAAACATAACAGATTTGATGAACACAAATTTTAGCATTATGGTTTGCATGCTGCCTCCCTTCCCATGAATCTCTTAAAAAATTATGTGGAACAGATACCATTTAAGAAGAAATTAAAACTAGTATCTCATCTACGTGATGCAGCTTTAACGTTGTCTTTGCGTTCAAGTGATTTACACTGTGAAGCTAATGTTCAATCTGATCAGAGGAAGGCATGGTGGAAATTACTGGAATGATGAAGGTCAAAGTACTTAAAGGCACAAACTTAGCTATTCGAGATATACTATCTAGCGATCCATATGTCGTTTTGACCCCAGGGCAGCAGGTTAGTAGATCTCTCATTTTATTTGATGTTGGAACAGATGTTGGGCAATAAAAAGAGTAACAATTGCTGGTGAAATTTTTGCCATCCAGATACATTCTTGTTTCTCAATTCTGATTTCACGACGAATGCTAGCAAATAATTTAACACCTCTCCCTTTGGATGTACCTAGGAAAGAACAAAAAGAGTTGCCTCCCCCTAAAATAACTCGAAAGCAACAAGTCCTTCCTATTCTTATAAGAAGGCTTGCTTTTTCCCTGAGAGACAACTTCCCAAATCATAGAGAACTGGTCGCCCCTACCCTATATGATTAAAGCTAAAATTCAAATTAGATTCGTAGGCGGAAACTACAGTAAATACGTCAAGATTTTTAAGCTCTCTAATGCTGTTTCTTTCTGTTATAAGAAAGCACAAACAACTGTGGTTAAGAGCAATCTGAATCCTGTCTGGAACGAGGAACTCATGCTTTCAGTTCCACAAAATTGTGGCCTGATAAAATTGGTAATCCATCGCTTGCAGCTCTTTTCTTTTTATTCATTTTTCTTAATCAGCACAACAATTTTTCTTGTCATTTTCTTCCTATATTAGCATTCAATATGCACACAGTCTTATAGTAACAATCATCAGCCATCAACTACTCATATATATCACATTATATCTAACCTCTCGACTTCTCTAAACTCTAAACTGCGGCAAGTTCTTGATCAGGACACATTCTCTGCGGACGATATAATGGGGGAAGCCGAAAGAGATATTCAGCCAATAATAACCTCTGCAATGGCTTTCAGAGATGCTGGAATGTTCGGAAATATGCAGATCGGAAAACGGCTGAAATCGCTCGACAATGCCCTGATGGAAGACAGCACAGTAAACAATGTGGATGGGAAGGTGAAACAGGAATTATCACTGAAGCTCCAAAATGTGGAACCTGAGGAGTTAGAACTGGAGCTTGAGTGGATGGCTCTTGACCAATAGATGTAAATTCTCTACTTTTTTTTCTTCTTCCTTTAGGTATATTCAGAAATAAATTTCATGCTCTGTATTCAAGGGGAGCCAGCCAGGGTTACTCATTTTTATATAGTGGGCTGATAACTACCAAAAAAAAAAAATAATAATAAAAATCACAAGAATCAAAATTTTGCCTAAAAAACTGGAGATAGATTTCAATGATATTACCATTTACGAGCATTCAGCAAACACTTCACTAATTAATCTAAATTGTGTAAATTAATACAGTAATACTTACAGATTACTTAAGAGCAACAGCATTAGGTGCCGAAGTTGGAGCCGACGCGGATGATGAGTTTTGTTGCTTCTGCTTTCGGAGGCGAAGGAAAAATAGAATCCCGGCGACGGAGAGCAATACGACGCCAGTTAGTCCACAGATTAAGCTGGCCACAAGCAAGGACCTCTTAACGTGATCTCCACGCGATCTCCCAACCGCATGATTGCTCCACCATGTGGCCGGATCGGTGAAATTCTTGGCCTCCGGCAGCGGTGAGGAAGGCGACGACGTCGTTACACCGAAGAAATATAGCATTTCTTTGGTTCCGTTGGCTTTAACTGGCGGTGAAGAATCTTGGTAGACCAAGCCGTGGACCGATGGACGGAGCTCCCTGCCTTCTGATTGGTTGATGATTGTGAAGATCGCAATGCATGCCACGATGCCGTATTGGAAGTAACAGTTTTCCATTTCTGTTCACAGATTATTGAGTCTTGTGATCTTTCCTTTTCTGCAGATCTTGTGCCAGTACTTGAAGAGGAGAACGAGCGGAACTGTGCGGCAGCGGGTTTTTATTTTATTTTTTTTTATTTTTATTTTTTTTTTATTTTATTTTAAACAACGACTTAATTTTACAAATGGCCACTGAAATTCAAGCAAAATTTCAAATGAGTAATGTTATTTACAACATCGGATTACGTGGAGAACTTTGCTATTTGTACATCGATTTTTGACACTTTGGTTGTAGACAAGTATTAATTGGATGGAAAATTTGTTTAAAATTTAAACTGTCCAATAAGATAATGTCATGTGACAAAGTGTAAAATAAAGTTTACACCATAGTGTATATGTAGCAAGATTTCTTAGGTGGAACCTAAGTGGTATTAAATGAGGGACAATTAAATGAATCACATAATTTTACGTTCAATTAAAACTACCGTATTATGACTCTTAGATTAGTGATTTAGCATCACTAGTGCTAAATAGCATTATTCATTTCAAAATGATCATTAAAGAATTTTATTTTATTACTCAATTAGTCACTAAAGTTTAGCCTGATTGATTTAGATAAAAATTAAATTTTTAATAGATTTTGATAAAAATTAATGAAATGTATAAAAAAATTGATAAAAATTGTTGATCCTATGAGTTTGAAAAAAAAAAAAAAAAAGAGTTTTAAAAAGGGGGCGGGGTTCAAACAAGTACTAAATAATGTTACATAATTGGTCAATAACTTAACATAAGTTGGACATCGTCCGATTAAAACTTTGCATAATGTTGTGTTCATATCTTGAGATCATATATCTTAAACTTCTGTTTGGTGGGGATTAAAATCAATTTTTTAGTATATTTTGATAGAAGATGCAGATCAAGATCACACGAAATATATAATTAAAATTAATTGTTAAATTTAATTTAGAATAAAATTTTAATTTTAATTTTCACCAAACATGGAAATCTAAAATTTCTCAGCTAAAACCTAACCTCATTTTTCATCGTTTCTTAGTTGGCATAAAGATTTAACAATTATTACGGCATATATGATATTAATCACGCTAGTAATGTGACCAATTATATAATATAAGTTTAAGTGATTAAATGTGTCAAAAAAATCTATAACGACCAATTTGAAATTTTACTTGAACGTCAGTGACCATTATTGAAATTAACCATTTTTCTGTAAAGTTGCCAAAAGTTTTAAAGTAAATTCGTGATTCCTTGTCGGAGAAAGAAAGGAAAAATTTATAATGACAGAGCCACCTGTATTTCAGATAGTTGTACATTGTGCTGAAAATATTGTTCTAAAGTTTGGAAAGAAAAAATTGCTCCTGGTCCTGCTGCCTTTCGCCGAGCGCTATTTTGTCCCTTTACTGACTCCATGAAAGAAAAAAATGACACTCTTTTGGACCCTATACCGTCCATTATTGTATTATGTCGTTAATAAAGAGAGTTGATTGAGGTATTGATTAGAAGTGTTAAATTGTGGGCCCATACAGCTCTAATCAACTATTTGAATGTATTGGCCAACCTAAGTCCCTTTTTGACATTCATTATTTCATATTATAATTTTTCGCTATTATATTTTGAATGATACAATCTTTCATAAAATAATATTACACGTAAACAAGAAAAATTTCGTTCATTTTCAACAATATATTCTCTGAAAAAACATTATTCAAAAATTATAATAACAAATAATGGGACAAAACGGGGTCTAAGCTAGTTTGACATTGTTAGTTGTTATCTATCACTCGAACTCATCGATTATGTCGTTCAAAGCTTCTTAATGGTCAAACTTGACATGTTAAATAGTGAATACTAGACAACTCTAAACGACATATGAGCCTCTCTTTGAATGCCTTTGGCGCAATTTGACGACTCTAGTTGTGATCTATCCTCGACATCATCTATTATCTGTCCAAAACATTCTCAAGAGTCGAACTTGTTTTAATTTAGACCTACTCTTTGGCATTTATTATTGGAAAATGCCTTCCTACAGGGGTCTTACCGACCCCTCATTGTAGGGGCAGCCCCACATGTTTAAAAAAAATAAAAAATAAAAAAAATTATGTCGGGGCCTACCATGTGTGTTGTCTGGCACGTGCCTATACATGCAGCATGGTTCTTTATTATTCAATCGAAATTGAAGCTCAAAGATAAGTCCATGTTTTGTTGGTAGGAGAATCTCTAATTGGATATGTCAACTTTTCTATGTTAAATCACTAAATATTTCGTGATGAATAAAAGCATCGACAAAAAGAAAGTAAAGTAAAAGTCATAAGTACGTCCCAAAAAAAAAAAAAAAATCTTTAAATTCTTGTTTCTACTACTGAATAATATTATTCAGCATCACTTACGTCAAGCAACAATTTATGTGACAATTACATGATATTAAATGATAGATTCATTTAATTAAATTTATCAAGTGTGAGCCCCCATTTTGTGAAAATAAAAATGGGTGGAATAAATTTTTTTTTTTTTTTAAATGAGTAGCTGAAAAAAAAAGCAAAATTTTTCGATTTAAGTGTAATATTATTTTATGAAAGATTGTGTGATTGAAAATATGAGAGAGAAAAATGAAATGTAATGGAAAAGAAATTAATGAGGACCAAACAGAGGCTAATGTTCAGTACATTGGTGTTAGATAATATTATTTCTTTACTTTTCTCTAATTCATATAGAAAATAAGCACCTCAGGCCTTACCATTTTCTTTGAAATTTTGCACATGACTCCACTCAATATCAAGCCTTTCCATGCAGTTTTTTGCTATAAGCATACAATTATGGCCAACGTGCCGAAAGATGGAAGCTTTGGATGTGGCTCATGCCGCGTCGAAATACTGAATGCAATCATAAACTAAGGGGTGAATATCAGTGATGTGATCAGGTGAACCTCCTGAAAAGCCATGGCTTCTAAGATCAAACGAAGAATCCAGCTTTGGCGATGGCTACTGCATTGAGTTCAAAGAGCCAGCTACTCTCTGATGTGTAGCCATGAAATATGCCTACGAGCCCTTTATGCCGATGAGTCGAGTCGGCTGGCTGCCATGATTGGGTGAATATTTTCTTGTTGCTTTTGTTCAACATGAAGCTCACTTGGGGTAATATTCTGTGTTTCTTGAAGAATTCTTGCGTTGTGAGATTTCCATTAGGACTATTATGATTAGCTTCATAAAGTGGGTAAACCATTTTATTACTTGTTTGAACAATGCAGAAACTATTATAATAGTTATAGAACTTTGTTTCCATATACAATAAGGTTGATATAATTTGAGTTGTAGATTTATTTTCAATTTGTTTATGGATAGAATTTGATATAAGCCACTTGTACAAGGGACTGAGATGGGAGCTCCTGCTTGGATGTTTTAAAATTATTTTTTTAGTCAAACTCCAATGAAATGTAGCCATCTAACAAATCTGTCTGTACACATAGCATGGTTAATAGAATTTATTGAGACTTGAGAGCGCTTGTTAATTAGATATCAATGTCATGTAAATGGGAAAGTTTTTGCTATAATAAACAAAACAAGAGCACCACCAAATGATCTCCTAAAATGGGGTCCAGAAACATGTATTGTACATCCAATGTATTCGTTAAATAATCTCAGTCAAGGAGATAAGTGTGCTATATATTTTGTTTTCAAAAGATAGTGAACCTGTTTGAGAGTGATTTTGAGAATTGATTTTTTGACCGTTAGGATAAAAGTGGGGTACATCTGTGAGAGAATAATTCAAATATGACGGCTGAAATAATGAGATAACGGTCAAAAAATTAATTTTTTAGGAGGAAAAATCGCTCCCAAACAGGCCCAGTGTATCATCCAATTTCAACAGAACCACAGATGAAAACCATAGAAGATAAATCACTTGCCTTAACTTCTGTAATAAATTCATTTAACCATGGTGGTGAAGGTTATACCTTGAGTTCTTTGCCTTTGCACGCTTTATTGTGTACTTCACTCAGTTTTAACTGCTCTTCATGATCCGGGACCTGAACATATGAAAGAAGAAGGAAACGAGAAACAAAGTTTTCGTTCCTCTTATCTTTTCTCATGCTATGTAGTATGAAGTATGAACATCAAAGCCATATTAAGTACAATTAGATTAGCTAAAACACGAGCATTCAGCACATTCGAAAATGTATGTTCTCATAAATAAAATCATGATGTTAACTTTCACCCTTCTCCTTGTATCTAACATGCCAGAACAGTAAATAATGAATAGAACAGCTATAGCAGCAAGTAGAGGCATACTGATCATTCTAAATATTGCACATGTACAGTTGACTGTTGAGGTAAAATTAGCTACATAATATCCACTTCAGCGACCAAGCGATCTCCTTTAGCTATACAGATGACATCTTTACATTTCAGGTTATCGGCGGCCATTTGCTTTTGCTTCTTTCATCAGGGAATTCCATGCAAACAGAGCAGCTCCAATGGCAGGCTCAACCTATGGAATCATTTTAACTTGTACTCGTTTTCAAAGTCAAAAATTTCAGCTACTGTGCTTCATCACTATAAAGGTAACTATTTCTCTGATTCGTCAAACACATGACGTACTTACATCCACAATTTTCAGTTACTACAAAAAACTAAATAAAGAACGCTAACCTTAGGTCTTATAGGAGAAGCCCCTGGGTAGGTTTTCAAAATAGAGTTAATAACTTCTTTCCCAATATCCCATATCTTGTTAGCTTCAAGGACTCCACCAACCATTACCACAGGGAAAGAACCATTTCCATCTGCAATAATAGTGGGTTCTTTATGAAAAAGGTTGTTGGAACGGACTCATATATTTGAACAAGATATAATTATGTGCAGAACATTCCAAGATTTTTGCAATTGAAAATGGAGGAGAACAGTTAACAAGATCCACCAGTGCCACCCCCCTTTTTCAATTCATGAACAGTCAAACAAATTTAACCTTCTCCGGCCAACTGTAGTCGTTGAACAACAGCTTTCACACTCATACCCAATTCTTGAACAGCATTATTCAAGATGTCATTGGCAATTTGATCACCAGCTTCTGCACAAGATACTACCTCAGGAACAAGTGCTGCAATTCGTGCCCAAGATGAATCTGCATAGGTCCACCTAAATTGCAATAAGCAAGTAAAATAAAACCGATTATGAAATCAGATATACTACATTCTTTTGTATACTAGTGCTGAAAGTATTTCGGTTCCTCGTCGAATCAATTTTCAATAAGTTTTATACTACGATATTTGTATTTAACTTTACTGCATTTTCAGTGACATGTTTTATTAGGCAGTGTTACAATAGGATGAGAGTCCTTAACATAAATGATTTCATCACAGCTTCTAACTGTCCTGATTATGGTGTCAAACTTCGAAAAGAATACAATAAAAAATTATCATTGTTGATATTGGAGTTAAATGTATGGAAGTTTCTTAAAAGAAGATCGCTTACAAGAGATTGATGTGTACCCATTTTCTAGAGGTCCACATTACTATTCTCAGAAATTACACAAAACATAAAGTTGCATCTTCCTGGACATAAAATCTATCATTACTTGGGCTTTTCAAAAGATCGACAAAATTAAAGTAGAACTTAAATTTCACATAAATGCTCAACCAGTCATGTGAAAGGAATGCAGATGAAAACCACATATAGCCACCTTCATTGCCCAAAAATCTTTTTTATGAATTGTTTTGACTAGTAAAGTGATAAATGGACTGAGTTCCAAATGCTGGACGAGAGGTCTAATATCTTCCTTTTTCCGTAAAAGTAGCGTGCTCGCTCTATCAAAAAGATGCTAGATATATGGTCACTCACTCACGGAAACAGCGGAGAAAAAACCTGAGTAATCTCACTAAACTGACGCTAAGAAACCATCCTGACCGCTTAGTTTTTAACTAATACTTTATCAGCAATCACATAGAAATAAGCATAATATTCACAAAATTGTACACGGAGATACCCTATTATTTCATCTGGAGAAGAAAGATGGAGTGTCTCGAGAACACAATTTGTAAGCATTGTCTCTGGACCACGGCCATCATGAGCCCTCACAATGGCTGTCAATCCCTGAGCAGCAATTCCATAGCCACTGCAAGCAGCAAGATATGATCAATCTAATAACACTTCAAGAATCAACTTGTACAAGATAGCACAATATCTCAGAGATTCATTTTTGCTTTCCCTTTTTACAATGTATTGTTTCTCTCAGCCAAGAATGAACAAAGTTGGAGGGAGCAACAAAGTCGATCTTATGGAATGAATAGGACTGAGTAACATCTAGAATTTAGAAGGCTGCCTCATGAGGGGAGTCCAACCCAGGAAATACATAAATAATCAAAGAATTTAAAAACATTAATCACATGCTTCCGTTGTAAATGCAAGAATGATAAGTCGAAGATTTAGGCATCCAGCCTCCAATGGTGGAAGCCATCTATAATTCGTGCTACATTGCTACTAACACTTTATTGCTGCATGCTAGTACTCCACCGCTAAGTTTTGGAATTATAATTTCTTCGGGTAGGAAACAATGATGTCTTCAATTTTTAAATAACAATTAAAAAAATATAAAAATAATTCTTTGCGAATTTGTTGCTTAAACTTTAGCTTTAAACAGAGAACAAAAGAAGTAATTTTCTAGTGCTGCTGCTTTAAACAATAAAATGATAATTATAGATAAACAGTACTCAGTTTGAACATTTAATTCATGCTACTTGCACTTCGAAACTATAACCTACACCTCCAACAACTGAAATTGTGAATTTTCAGCAGTACTCAGTTTGAACATTTAGCATAGTTAACTTTGTTGTGAAATACCTTTGTAAAATACATGCTAGTACATCTCTCTATGCATATTGCTCAGAAAATGACCTGTCTATTTAAGATAACAGAATATTCCTATCCAAGACAACAGATTTCATGAAGTTACTAAAATTGTAATGGAATCACTGACGAATGATCAATTATCAACAACTGGAGTGCTCATCGATAAGTGATAGTTATCTATTATGGTTATTGTGTTTATATTATTTCATTTCATTCATGTTGCATGATAAAATCTTTAATAAAAGTTGACTAGCAGAGAATTACCACCTAAGTCTATCTTTCTGTATGTGTACTGATAAATACCCACTGTACCTGCCCCAGTCACCTAGTACAGGTCCTGCACCAGCAGCACGAGCTTCTCTTCCATCATCTCTAAAACCATAAGCTATGCACCCTGTACCCGCAATCAGAACACAGCCATGAAGTTTCCCCATGGTCCCACTTGCAAGGGCTGCCACTGCATCATTCTCGACATGAATCTTTACATGACCTGGGAATATGTGCCTGTATTACACCATAGACAGTTCAAAACCCACTTCAGAGCTTGCACACGGAATATCTAAACAACTAACAACTTTATCAGTGTCTATCTATAAACATTTCATGCCAACTTGCATTCATTACAAATGCAGTACTACAATATTCTATTTTAGAATTCTGTCTAACCCTAGAATGCAACAATATATGATGCATAAGTTTTATCCAATAATTCGGAATTACTGAGATCGTGGAAAACAACATCAGAGTGCTACTGGTCTAATTCTACGAACATCCACAGATACATTAGCCTGCCATTCTAGGCTATCCAATCAGCTCCCATTTAAAATTCCCATCACCTCTTTCTTTCTACGAACTTTGGAATTTTCAACCTTCAGCAATGTATGGCTTTGTTGATATATTGTTTACATCATCATAGGATACAATTGCCAGATTTATTATTTGCATTTCTCCTAGAACATGATGAGCCAGTTATAAACTAAAATAGCTTTAGTTTCTGGTCAATATATAGCATAAGTGACAAAAACTATAAACATAATCTGATCAATTTTTAGAAAAAGTGTTAGCTAGTAACAAGTAAAATGTTTTCAAGATATAAAGGATTTTAATCCACCAGTTTGACTACCTTTCTATGAACATGTTTAACAACAGAAACAGTATTAAAATGAGATTAGTAAAATTTACACAACCACACAGCACCTTATCCAATTCAAGAACATTTCCTGATCCGTTGGATGGTTGACACCCGAAATGCCTAAACAAACCGCCCGTACAACTGAATGGTTCAAGCCAGCTTTTGAAAGAGCTTCAGCCATAACTTGTTCCAATGTTTCCCTGGCTGCATTTTCTGTAACAATCGATCATAAATACAAAAGATATTAAAGAATTAGCCGCCTCGTATAATCAATTTTAATTAGAAAACCACATTCAATTGCACAATCAATATTTTCCAAACATTTTGCGGTCTACACCATAGTAATTGAAACGTTTAATTAGTTCAGTCTATTATAGATACCTCCAACGCTATTGTAATTGGAACAACCAGCAACGGCACGGGCAAGAATAGGTAGAGGATCGGGAAAATGGCGGTGATCGGAGAAGGGTAGGAGCGGCATGCACACACAGACGGTGGAGGTGGCGCCGCCGTCCACTCCCAGGATCACCCCTTCACTACTACAGCAATCGAACTCGGACCCCATATCACAAAGCCCTCTCTGTGTTGAGATATTTCCGATGGCTATGAATTTGGGCAAGTGAAAAAGCAACAAGAATTTGAGTTGTTGAAGGACAATATTAAGCGGGGTAACCTTTCCACTTTGACCAAAGGCAATTCACAGGACCATTATATTGTTACACAGTTAAAAAAATATTGATTTGCTTAAAATATAATAAGGGTTTATTTGATTGTAATGATTGGAATTTGGATGGTAGGAAAATGAATTTTAGGGAATTGAATTGTCTAAAATTTATTTTATTGAAAATTAGCAATTAAATGTATTTGATTGGTATAATTTTTAACCTGAGAAATGTTGAAATTTTTTATTTTTGGTATTTATTTGGCTTTATTTTTCATGAAAATTGTTAACTAAAATGACAAAATTTGTTATAGTTGGGAATAGAACTTGTTCTAATTGCCAAAAAAAATTAAATCAAAAAAAAAAAGTGGCCGGAAATCCAATTCTCACCAAAATCATGAAATTAGCACATGTGTGGAGGGAAGTTGGAAAACAAATTCTATGAAAATTTTTAGCAATCAAACAATACAAATTGGGTGGAAATGAAAAATATTTTCCATTTTCCATGGAAAATCAAGGCTATCAAACATGGCCTAATATCTTTTTGTGTTTTAAAATTTCCAATGCTCCCCACTTTAAATTTCAAACGAAATCACATTCTTTATCTGTTTACTCTAACATAGATAAAAATTATTTCACTTTTCATCTGCTTAAACATTGAAATTTCATAGATTTCTCAAAAGCTCAACAAGAAAATATTATTTGTGGCGGTTAGGAGAAATCGGTATGTATATTTACGTATTTTTAATTTCTTTTTCGTCAAACTAGAGTATTGTTTGAATTCTAAATCTTATTTCGACATAGCAATTTTTTTTTTATTATTTTTTACAATCTCATATGGATCTATAACATTTTTAGGCAAGCACAAGGAAAAAATTCATTTGCATGTATTAATTATTAGACAAAATTCGAAGAACTTGTGTGGAAGAATCTCAACCGATGATGGCATCTATACCGGATGGAAATAGCTGGCCTTGACAATAGTGGCGTTAGGGCCTGATGGACTGACGGCCCGGCCAGCCCAAAAATTTTCCTCCCTTTTCCTTGTAATTATTTTTTAGCCAATTATGTTTTCCTTATGCAAATATGGGTTTGACACCAATTTCAATTTGCTACTTTGGTAAATTTGAAATGAACGAAAATAAACAATGTGTATGGAAATGGACGAGCGAAAGACGTGATGCTACTGCTGCTTTTATATGATCGAGTACATCGCATGCAGAAATGTACCATGAATTACAGAATATGCTCTGCGTCGATCCTTCATAGTACGACATGGAATTGGGATTTCTGTTTAGCGAGCATGCATCCAGTTCAATTCCGTCTGTAATGGTTGCTTTTGAAGTTAAAATGAAGGCTTTAATTGAATTGAACCAAGTCGCCCGATTCTTATTCCCGTAACTTTAGCGGAGAAGAATAACCCCGGTGAACATGAAGATTTTGATGGAGAGAATCGTAATGTAAATGATTTTTGGGATATGGTGGAAATTGTTCATAAGGATGATGTGTCTAATCCTGAGACAATTGTTCCTCAATATAACCTCACTGTTATGTTCAGAATTTCGTCAACAGTTGGAGACAATGAGAATGAAAATGAAAATGAATTTACAAATGAGAATTTTGTTGCGTTATCCCATCGAGACAGAGCTGGGGCAGTTCACAGGTTGGAATGAGTACATGGTACTCTAATTGTTCGCATATAGTTCCAGATGATAAAGATTTAAATGTCGAAAAACTGTTCAAAATAAAGAAAGATTTGCAGGAAGCTGTTCACCAGATTTCTTTGAAACCAACTTTGAGTTCAAAGTGAAAAAATCAAAGTCGACATACATAATTATTTGCATTGATTACAGTAGCCATTGACACATGCGAGCTATGAACATGGACACTAATGAATTCTTTGTGATTCATAAGTATGCATAGAAACATACTTGCGAAGTTGGTATTCGTCAAGTGTTCACCGACAGACCAGATCATGGTCCATTGGTCGACAAATAATGCACAAGTTTCAGGATCCACGAACGATCTATAAATCTTCGAACATCATTAACGATGTTCGTCGAGAGTATATGGTAGTCATGAGCTATCAGAAGGCTTGATAGGCCAAAGAATGTGCATTGGAGGACTTAATAGGTTCGGTCGAGGATAGTTATGCTAAATTAGTCAGGTATTTCCATAACATGAGGAGAACTAATCATGGATCAACGTTTTTTTATTGATATGGATAGCGAGAATCGCTTCAAATATTTTGTCATGGCCCTTGGACAATGCATTCTAAGGTTTGGAAATGCGATGCGACTCCTAATTCTAGTCGACGATACAACCCTTAAGACTAGATTCGAAGGCAAGTTGATTATTGTAACATGTGAAGATGCCAACATTCAAATTTATCATCTTGAATTCATCAAAGTCGATGGAGAGAATGATCTAGTGATGTGTTAGTTCTTCACGAAGTTAAGGAGAGTAATTGGGTACGTCAAGAACCTTGCATTCGTAACTGACCGGAGGAAATAATTAATAAATGGTATAGCCAAAGTCTTTCTCGAGGCACATCATGATTATTGTATGTATCATATACAGGACAACATGAAGACTAGGTATCGAGCCAGTGTCGTCGTTGCATTGTTTAAGAGAACTGCAGAGGCTTACAGTTTTGAAGAGTTTGATAAGTTTATGGTGAAAATAGAAAGTAAATCACATGCTGCATGGAAGTATCTAACAGAGATGGGTATCAAATATTGGGCACGATTACATTTTTCAAGACATCGATACAATATGATAACATTGAACAATGCTGAGTTGCTTAATACATTATTCAAGAAAGATCGAGAGTTACTAATTTTCGTAATGATTGAGCAGATTCGTAACAAGTTATAGCAATGGTTTCACGATCGACGTGAGGAAGTATAGAGTTGTACAAGTGTGCTAACCCCATCTTAGGATGATAAACCCTTCAAGACTCTGGAGGTAACGAGAAACGTATGTATGAAATCGTTGGACCAGTTTCGCTTCTCTGTGAAATGTGAATGTAATATTGGATACATCTTAGAGTTAAATGATAACACGTGCACATGCATAAAGTTTCAATTTGAGAGTTTTTCATGTATGTATGTAGTGGCAGTGGCTATGCATAGAAGATTTTCGGCACACACCTTATGCAGTAATTATTACATGATCGAATATTGAAAAGCATCATATGTTGAAACGATATTTCCTGTACCAAATGAAGTCGAGTGGGAAGTTCCTGACCATATTCTCCCACTAAATAATGTGTTGCCACTCGAAGTCGAACCACGTACTCTTGGACGTAGACGCACGTCTAGGATACCATATACTGGAGAATTTTTCTAACCTTGTAAGTGCAGTAGGTACAATGCAACAGAATATACTCGTCGATTTTGTACAAGTCAGATTTCGTTACATAACAATTCAATGAATATGTAATAAAATTTAATTTTTATTTGCTNGGCAAGCACAAGGAAAAAATTCATTTGCATGTATTAATTATTAGACAAAATTCGAAGAACTTGTGTGGAAGAATCTCAACCGACGATGGCATCTGTACCGGATGGAAATAGCTGGGCTTGACAATAGTGGCGTTAGGGCCTGATGGACTGACGGCCCGGCCAGCCCAAAAATTTTCCTCCCTTTTCCCTGTAATTATTTTTTAGCCAATTATGTTTTCCTTATGCAAATATGGGTTTGACACCAATTTCAATTTGCTACTTTGGTAAATTTGAAATGAACGAAAATAAACAATGTGTATGGAAATGGACGAGCGAAAGACGTGATGCTACTGCTGCTTTTATATGATCGAGTACATCGCATGCAGAAATGTACCATGAATTACAGAATATGCTCTGCGTCGATCCTTCATAGTACGACATGGAATTGGGATTTCTGTTTAGCGAGCATGCATCCAGTTCAATTCCGTCTGTAATGGTTGCTTTTGAAGTTAAAATGAAGGCTTTAATTGAATTGAACCAAGTCGCCCGATTCTTATTCCCGTAACTTTAGCGGAGAAGAATAACCCCGGTGAACATGAAGATTTTGATGGAGAGAATCGTAATGTAAATGATTTTTGGGATATGGTGGAAATTGTTCATAAGGATGATGTGTCTAATCCTGAGACAATTGTTCCTCAATATAACCTCACTGTTATGTTCAGAATTTCGTCAACAGTTGGAGACAATGAGAATGAAAATGAAAATGAATTTACAAATGAGAATTTTGTTGCGTTATCCCATCGAGACAGAGCTGGGGCAGTTCACAGGTTGGAATGAGTACATGGTCCTCTAATTGTTCGCATATAGTTCCAGATGATAAAGATTTAAATGTCGAAAAACTGTTCAAAATAAAGAAAAATTTGCAGGAAGCTATTTACCAGATTTCTTTGAAACCAACTTTGAGTTCAAAGTGAAAAAATCAAAGTCGACATACATAATTATTTGCATTGATTACAGTGGCCATTGACACATGCGAGCTATGAACATGGACACGAATGAATTCTTTGTGATTCATAAGTATGCATAGAAACATACTTGCGAAGTTGGTATTCGTCAAGTGTTCACCGACAGACCAGATCATGGTTCATTGGTCGACAAATAATGCACAAGTTTCAGGATCCACGAACGATCTATAAACCTTCGAACATCATTAACGATGTTCGTCGAGAGTATATGGTAGTCATGAGCTATCAGAAGGCTTGATAGGCCAAAGAATGTGCATTGGAGGACTTAATAGGTTCGGTCGAGGATAGTTATGCTAAATTAGTCAGGTATTTCCATAACATGAGGAGAACTAATCATGGATCAACGTTTTTTTATTGATATGGATAGCGAGAATCGCTTCAAATATTTTGTCATGGCCCTTGGACAATGCATTCTAAGGTTTCGAAATGCGATGCGACTCCTAATTCTAGTCGACGATACAAACCTTAAGACTAGATTCGAAGGCAAGTTGATTATTGTAACATGTGAAGATGCCAACATTCAAATTTATCATCTTGAATTCATCAAAGTCGATGGAGAGAATGA